GGTTAGAACGGTATCTTAGCTATACAATGGACACCTGTTGAAAATATACCGAAATAGTGGTTGGGATTGGGTTTCTGTGATTAGAATGGTTGAAGTGTCTTCTGTGGCATTGTTCATATAGCTCTGATTGTACCTACAGCTATTCTCTTTGTCCTCTTTCAGTCATGTCCAGACAACACAACAGATTTCCGAGATTTGCAATGTTCGTTTTTCAATGGAAGAGATTCGAGTGGATTATTGACCAAATGGAAAGGTAATTAATAATTAATTAAGAAATATAGTGATCAGACTACTTCACACTTCTGAATGACATCTGATATTTGTAGGTATCATTTTACCCGAGACAGACGAAACAGACTGTGCCTTGATATGTTCCACTGTTAACCTGAAAGAGAATTTGACCAAACAATTCTCTGAGAAAGTTGTTGATGGAACCTTGTGTGGTGGTTCTGGTGTGTGTGTTGACGGTAAATGTAGGGTGAGTGGACTTCTTATGATATATGAATGGCAGGATTCAAATTTCACTTTTATAGAACTTAAAGGTTGGATATTCACAGCTATTTGACCAAGTAAGCCAGTTCTGATTATCCAATTATCTGTTCTAGAGTATTGGATGTGATGGTATATTAGATTCCAATAAAACCAGAGATAAGTGTGGACAGTGTAATAGTAATAATGATTCCTGTAATGATATATCAGGCAGGGTACGACAACAAGTTGTAAAGGGTGAGATTTATTTGGTATAATAACTTGACATTGTTTCTTGATCTAGTTTGATTTCGTTAGGATTGTCCTTATACCTGTACATGAGACTACTTCTTTGATCTCAATAAAAAAAATACTGTACCGAAATTCAAGATAACAGTTCGCATTGATAGCAGCAAATAAACTATTCATATTTAACTTTGTATATTTTAGGTTATACAGAATTGTTGGTCATCCCGAAAGGCTCTCGTGATATTTTGGTAAGCGAGAAGCCTCGGAGTAGAGTTATTTTAGGTAGGTTATAGCTAAGGATGTCAATGACAATGGCTATCAGATTGCTAGGATAACTCCAAAGTCCGATTTGTGTTCAAGGTATAACAAAATCGGGAGCAATAATTGTAAAGTAGAGGACTCCTTAACTTTTAAGTACCATCAGGTGTTTTGAAAAGAGTATCCATGGTACATTTCATTATTAAAACAAAGAATAATGCTGCTAATTATAATTTCTAAGACCTTTGAAAAAGTTTCATCCAATATATAAAGACTACCATAAAAATTGTTCCCTTGTAACTGAGTAAAAGCAACTAGGACAATCTCAAGCGAAATCGTTTTAATCTGCAAAGTGCTTATACATATAAATTTCATTATTACAGCAATGAAGGATAGAGAAGGTATTTTCTTTTTTTCTGCCCAATCTGTAAATAATGTAACAATGGCATCCAGAATAGTTGCAGGAACTGTCTTTCGTTACATAAAAAATAACCAGTCAGGGAATGTGATGGAGATAATAAAAGCTAACGGACCAATCAACGAAACAGTGACCATCATGGTAAATACTTGTTTCATAATTCATGTCTTGTAGCTTAAGTAGGAAAGTTATATATTAAAGTATAACAAGTAGACAACTGGCATTATATTTTACCACGAACATAATCAAAATTTGTTATTTTCAACGGCCGCTTAAATAATTAATTTTGTTTTGTTATAATGGCTGTCTCATGTGTGTATGAACTTCATCATTGTGGTTTGATAAGAATGTTGCCTTGATGTTGTTCTTATAAATGGATAAGTCTCAGTTCAAATTCACATGTCCTTAGTTATAAAGGATATAAACGCCACTGCTTCTAACCCATTGCTAATTCCATTCTGGTTATATTAAAGGGCTTTTCCAGACAGGAGAAGGCAGCAGTAGCATTGTGGTACTCTTACACTAATTCTAACACTGAAACATCACCAGAAGCTACAGCAACAGCAATAAAACCTTACTATCCATGGCAAACTTTGCTCCACAATAACATTTTACAAACAGTCAGCTCGAAGAAACAATCGAAGACGTCTAATTCTTTGGAACCAACTTCTTCCAAACAAAACAGCAAGGAGAAGCCTAAGCTTAAGATTAGGAAAAATCCTAAAGAGAAAAAAAAAGCTAAGATAAAATCAGAAAACAAAGGATCAACCAGAAAATCTATACCAGATGCACGAAAACCGAAAAAATCAAAACAACCCAAGAAATCAAACAAGATTCCAGAGACTCAAACAACTGAAAGACCAAACTTCATAACTACAACCAATAAACCAAAACCCCAAAGCAAATCTATGACAACAAAAATTAAAAAAAAGAAAAAGGGTACGACGAAATTAGACAAGAAAAAAGGTCAAAAGAAAACAGCAAAGCAGAAATTAAAATTTGGACAGATCAATTTCAACAGAACTATTCAGATTGACCACAAACCTAGCTATATCAACTCTACGAAAGATACAGACATGGGGGAGCAACATAGTCTTTCAGGTAAAATATTTTTACCACTTATTGATTTTTACCAAATATTTAATTTTACCACTTAATGATTTTTACCTCTTATTGATTTTTACTACTAATTAAATGACCAATTTCAGAAGCAGGGAAGAAGGACAAAGATAGACAAGAACTGTCTATAAAGGTAGCTACCAAAACAAAACCAGGTAAGACCGTAACACCTTTATTTAGCTCATCCAGATCCTCAATCTATAATTTTGTTCTCAAATGTGTCAAGAATCTTGTCATTTTTAAATCAATTGCTCGAAGTTTTTTCTTTTTCTAGAAAGTTTAGCTAAGATTGATATGAGAAAGAAGCCCAGGAAACCAGGAGAAATAAAATTTGAATGGCGAGGAAATAAAATAACACCATGCAGTACTACTTGTAAACCTGGTACGTGAGACCATTTCTCTATTGGAGTATTTATATAATGGGAGATGAGAGTGGGGAATATCCTACGAATGTTGAAATTGGAAATTCAAGCTTCTTGTTTTGGTGTGAATCGACGAAATCTGACCTACGATATATTGTATGTACAAGACAATCAGATCCTTCGTTCCAGAAACTTGGTTGCGGCCTTCCTTACACCTTGAATTTGAATTTTCCATTAACTGTGTGTAAGTCTATTAATTTGCTGACTTGATTGTAGGTGTAAGTGTGACATTCTTCAGTTGTGTTAGAATATCTACTGATCAATCTGTAGATGACCTATTCTGTGATAATGATGACAAACCAAATCTATCATATCATGTATGCAGTAGACATGCATGTCCACCACGGTAAGTCATCATTCTCTATATAAATACAGTAATGTGCAATTGTACCGAGCACAGTTCTGTGTATCTATGAGTATGTTGCCCTAGGCGATGTTTCCTTCCAAGCCAAAAGGTCAATTTCCTTAGATACCATTCGATTTTAGGTAAAGATTAACTAAATTATATGGGAAATCGTAGCATGGTATGCAGGTTATCTGCAGTTTTTTGTAGATCAACTCCAAATTCAGTAGCATGACTCTACGTACCAGGTTGTTGGTGACATGCTCTAGCGTCACAATCTATTAGCACAATCTGGTAATTTTGTATCAGCAAATATAGGGTATTCATCTTGAATTATTTGCTTACCGTACCTTTTTTAATCTATTACAACCTGTTGAACCATCCTTTTGATCCACATTGTCAAAGGATGTTATGGTACCTAAATAACTTTTCGTAATCTATAATGTTAACTAATTTCATTGTTAGATGGGTGGCAGGCGAATGGGGTTCTTGTTCTCTTACTTGTGGTGAAGGAGTTCAACAGAGACAAGTCAAATGTTGGCAGATTTTAGCTCCTGGGTTTGATAGTAGTGTTCATGATTTTTTATGCCCAAACGATACCAAACCCGAACAAGTGAGGAAATGCAAAGCTATTTTACCCTGTGGACCTGTGTGGGAAATGTCCGAATGGGGCAAGGTAGGTTGGATGATGACGCTCTGTGAGTGCAGTTACACGAAGAAAACAATCGGCGACGAAAAAAAAAATGACGACAAATACTTAACTTGTTTGATGTTCAAAATCCTACGCAATAATCTTGTCGTGAAAGCGCGGGCACTCGAGAATTTTTACTCATGATTCGCGTCGGCTACAAAAATTAGCCTGTGTTTCTGCAGCATAATGGAAAAAACTTTTAACACTGTTAACAAATATTGATGTATATGTGTACCAAAGGGGGTATATTTGTTATGATTATTTTGAAGCTGGCACATACGCCCACTTTAAACGTTCCTGTGTGTTTATTTCCATGTTTCAGTGTTCAGTAGATTGTGGATATGGTTGGCAAGTACGCAATGTTAGATGTAATAGTCATAATGAAGCAGATTGTACGTCACCTCAACCAATAGAAAAACAAGCCTGTATACAGAAACCATGCTTAAATTACTGGTACACTGCTACATGGTCTGAAGTAAGTTAAAAAAATGTCCTTGAAACTTCCATTCCATTCTTCCTAGTACTAAAACTATTAACTCGCACATGACTCTGATATGTCTATGGACAATTTTTGTCTGGCTTAATGGAGATTGTTCGCGTTTTGGATTGGTTACCATTTAACCGTTTCTCTTTCCGAACCTCGAGAATCTAAAAATAAACTTTAAAATCCAAATTTGAATTTTCGATCTATTATCATACTTTGGAGGTTTATCAAGAAAAGTCCATATTTCCCAACAATTTTGAGTGAGATTCTTTCATACTTTCATTGAAATATCAAAGGATATATTTTTTCTTAAAAGAATCGATGATTAATACATTATTTGACAGTGTTCGGGATCCTGTGGTGTCAAACATCGTAAAATATTCTGTCGTAATAAATCTGGCCATGTGATAAATGAAGGTCTGTGTGACATTAACAATAAACCTCTATCTGTCAATCTGTGTGGCATGGGTAGATGTAAACATGTCTGGATACCACAAGAATGGAGAAGGGTAAGTTTCTTTGAGAGAAACCTTGTGAATAAGGTCCTTGTACTGAACAAGAAGAGTATTTTTCAGAATAGATTCTTAATTATATTGGCGGCGAACTAAATAAACATTACCTGTCAAGCTATGGATCAAAGTTATATCAGTTATTTGGGTGAATTTTTTAGACCGAACACAACCCCAAGCTTACTGTCCATAGTATATAAGTTGATTTCTATAATCATAATGCATTATGAGAGAATGCATGAGCCGTCCGAAAGGGATATGTTTACCAACTCTAGCGCAATATTTCGTGAGCTTCATAAGGAATGAACTGGGCATCTTAAATCTTTTTTTCCTGAATAAATGCCGCATCTGAAAGTCTGAAAGTGACTAAAACTTCAGTAGGTCTACTATCAGATTTGTTTCTTTATTTGTAAAAGTGTCCAGTAGAATGTGGGGATGGTAACTCGACCAGAAAGATTATATGTGGTTCAGTTACAAATGGTAATTTTAAAGAAGAACCAGATACTTATTGTCACCACATACCTAGACCTCCAGATAAAACCAGCTGTTCGGCTAATCCTTGTGGTCCACTATGGTATACAACGGAATGGGGAGAGGTAAATTATACAAAATATCAATTTGTGATGAACGTGGTTGCGTTACAGTTGTCATGAAGAATGCCATGCATTGTAACGAAAACAATTTTCATTCTGGTTTTAGATCGTATGATTTAAGACTTACTGTAATCCCACATACAAAACGGGAAGAAAGAAGGCATGCTATAATTTCCAATTCACTTCTATAGAGCTACTGAGTGACGTGTATTTCAGTTTTGGAAGTGTTGATGATTATATGTTAAATTTCAGTGTTCTAAACCGTGTGGTGATAATGCTAAGAAGATGAGAGAAGTCAAATGTTACCATAAAAACCAGATATCTGAGAATTGTTTTACAGAATCTCAACCTGAAGATACAGAGATTTGTGTTTTACCACCTTGTTCAAGAGCTGAAGGCGAGTTTACTTATGAAACCAATTATTGTCAGGTCACCTCTTGTTTCAGACTTCAGATATCCATGTCCGTTTGTCTGCTCATATTTTTTTTATTGAATTTGGTATATTTCCTTTTCAAATTTTGGTCAAATTCTTTAACAATCTACAGATTAAGGAAAGAGCCCACATAAAGCTTTTTTCGCCTCGGCAGAGTACTCAGGTTCGCAGGTGCTTCAAGGGAAGTCGACATGTACATGTATCCGCGAAGACTTCCTCATGCTCGTGCATATTCGGGGATGACAACTCTCTACAATCCTTCAAAAATGTATCAGTAAATCCTTTCCATTGGGAGTACATCGCTGAAGCAAAATATCCTTAATGGGATTTATCCTTGAGATTCGTATGGGAATTATGATCACATAATAAGAATGAAACTTATGAGCCAATCAGCGCGATAGAAGGATGTACAAGTCTACCTTACGCCAATGTCAGTGAGGATGTAACCATGTGATCGGGGATGTGTCACCAGAAAGTCAAATATCTCCGATGATTGATCGATACAGAACGAAATATAAGCAGCGAATAGTCGAGGTACTGGTACAGACTGTACTTCATCTATTCCAATTTGTTTAGCCAAAAAGCTTACTATGAGCATAAATGTGTAGAATCATAAACGACAGTTTCTATTATTACAAAACTAATATTGAAATGGATACTTTCTTATCTCTAAATGGCAAATATGATGTATGAAATATGATTTCAGATAATGTATGTATTGATGATAGGAGAGCTGGGTGTGATTTTCTAATAAAGCCCAGTATATGTGAAAGGCTATATTACCGTCAAGTGTGTTGTAAGACCTGTCACAGGTATGGTTATTAAATTGAAATGATGCATTTGATTTTATACAGTTGGTAATAAAACATACATTTAGTTGTTTGTATTTAAGATTTTCCAGTCATTGATGGATCAGGGGATCTTCAAAGTGCACAATTCAAACTACAAAAATTCATAATAGGCCTATTTATTTAGAAAAGGAATATCAGGTGACGACTTCTCGATTATGTTTAGTCTTTAGTGTAAGTATATTTAGAACACTGCTGTAGGCACAATTTGGAAAAAAGAGAATTTCATTGCATGTACTTTGTTATACTTCAGACAGGCGACTCAAATATAACTCTATCAGTACTGTATGGATACATAACACAAATACAATCTTATTTTTGCTGTGCCAGTTTGTAATTATAATACATGTATAATCTACATTAATTTGTTTTCAAAAGCTTACAATAAGGATGCACTATGTGGACTTTGGTCACTTCGGAAAACTTCTATTGGAATTTATCTGTACACAAATGTAATGGAATCAAGTCCTGTCCAGTAACAGTGGTACTTCTATAATCATTAGGTCAAGAGGGTTAACAGACAATGTATAATGATAATAAATGGGGCGGAGGAGAGTTGTCAAGGCCGGACTAGCCTCTTTTCTGAGGGAGCATGTCCCCCTCCCCCCTGCCTCCGTAGAAATGCCACTGATGTGAAATGTTGATCTCTAAAAGAAGCCACAGTAAATGGATATTATAATATCATGTTAACATGAATAATAAATCATATATTAATATCTACTTGAATAATGACCTATTGACCCGTATTTTACTATTTCAATATTATCTTTATATCCTATTGTTATCTTCTTGTCCTTCTATTCATTGACAATGTCCTTCATTCAAATACCGCTACCGTGTAAAAACCTCTCAGTAAAATAAATGATAACATTAATATAATAGGGAAACGTGGTGAAAAATAATTTTATTTGAGTATCTGTCAATACAAAGCAGGATGTTCAAGTTCTCTATTTGTCTTCAATGCATATTTACGTTAACATTCATATGGAGATCGGTTTAACGTTCTTTTTTGATTATTGAATTTTCCATGTCAATTTGATCTATAACTTGATTATCAAGTCAGTTTTGAGGACATATATATGCATTTATAAAATTATGACAAATGCGAGTAAAATGTTGTATAATTGTATATTGCCTGATAGGAGGTCATTTATAACAAAAATAGGTTCATTTCAAACATTATCTTCAAAAGACTGTTTATTACGGTCAGCTTTCTTTATGAAAAATTCGAGTAGAAAAATGTCTAAGTCTTTATACACGCAATTTGACGTGTTCAATTCAATATTCAATAAACCGAGTTGTCAGCTAGACATGCTTTTTAATCAAACACCGAGGTTATTTAGACCAATAACTTTGGATTTTGTGATTAAATTTCTCATGATAAAAATAAAGTCTTCATTATCTTCTTAGCTTAAAGTGGTTTACTCTTCCGGCTGTTCCTTAAAACATGATATAACCTTTATATTTTTACTTATTTGATTGGTACAATTTAGTAACATGGCAAAACCAAATACCCATCGAGGGACGAGAGAGGTGGGACGTTTTAGACACCAATCACAAAGAAACACCAGCTGTTCAATATAAGATTGATTTATTTCATTCTGACGACAGTCTTCAAAAATCAACATAAATAAACAAACATTTACAAGGGAAAATATACCATAATATATGAATGAAATAATATGAAAATAACGTTTCCATGAACAAGTATTTTACAGTGTAGTTAGTATATATGTCCGTAGTTTATTTGGTAAAAGATATTCGGTTATCCGAAGCTTGAACATGGAAACCAACCTTCAAATTTAAAACAACAGATTGTTACACAATCGTAATCAGACGAAAAATTATCGACATAACAACAAATAACAAGATTGCATATAGAAATTTCTTATTGATAGGCACTATCGGTTTAAAATTCCATGTGCACCTCGTGATACAATTATTATATATTCTATAAGTGGATGATGTTCATCGAAATTTCTTTTCAAAAATTTGCATAAAGGATTTAAAATACCTGATGTAGATTAACATTACCAATGATTAGTTAAAACAGTGTTCAGTGGCTCAACTAACACGGGGACATGTTAATCCAAGTCCACGGCCCCCGCCACCATCTATAAAAGAGCCTGCACGCTCAGAAAAAAATGCAAAAGAGCATATGTTATAAAAAAGAGCGGGGGGAGGGGCCCTCACTCATCTAGGTAAGCCATGTATTAATTGTTAAAACGGGGTAGTTAAAAATCATTTTTCAAGTTATAGTCAAGGGTTTTCTCGTCCAGATACACAGGTTGTATATGTATATAAATCATTCCTAAGATGTTAAAACTTTAAGTTGACTATCAATCTGATCTTTAAGGGAAGCAAAACAGGATGCCATTCGATTAACTCATCTGTATCGCCCTGCAACGTCCTTTCTTACGCTAACCATAGATATATAATAACAAATGTACAATTTGATAGATGAAAAAAAGGTATGAAGACTAAAACACACGTAAAACAAGAAACAATTCTCCACAACATTGATGCGGAAGCGGGTCAAATGAAGTAAAGTAACAAACTGAAAGACTGGAATACAAACAAAATAGTCCAAACACTCAGTCATCCAGACATAATCCATACCATGCATTTTACAATGGATTTTTTTTGTCACAGTATAAAAAATATTATGGCAAGCCGTAACAGATAAAATTATTAAAATATCATATCCTATAACTTTTTAAAAAGTCAAATATTTAAAAGTAAATTAAACAAAATGGTATCACAATATCAGAATCCAGAAAAAGTAAATTAAAAAAAAGTGAAGTTGATCTAAAACCTAATACTCTCTTGTTTGTTATCCTGCATCCAAACTAATTCATGTTCTGACTCTATTAAAATAATGCATGTAAATCTTTGACCTGTATGAGAATCCATTGGGAACAATAATTCTGGTGAAAATGGTTTAGAATCAGAGACAAAATTGATCAATTTATAGTACATTTCTGGATACTGATATCGAAGAGTTACTCCCCTTTTCTGGAGCTTCCTCTGGATATTGATTAGTCCCATTTCGCGAGATTTGCGTTTCTCAGCGTTTCCAGTTTTTTCAAAACCTTGCGAAGCAGCAAGCACAAGCACAGATATATCATCCAATTCATCCAGATTAGGAATAGAGTGGGCAGGGCTAAGGCGTAGTGCAGCACATTTAGCTATACTGGTTTCACTGGTACGTGGTGGAGCAATGTTATCATAATATATATGAGAACCACAACCAATTCCAGCATACAATATAAACTTATTATCGGGGTTATAGTTACTACACATTTCTGTTAATCCACTTTTAACATCTCCAAATAATTTTACACGATCTATTTCAGCTACAGTCATATACATGGGTGAGATCGTACTATGGCGTAATCCTTCTTGCAATAACTTTTGAGCAGTACTGATATTTTCGAAATTCAAAACAATACAGCCCCGACCTCGATGAAGATATCCACGTCTTGCAAACCGTGAAACATAATACAGAATATGAGAATCTTTGTTCACTGTTTTTATGATATTTTTACACATATTACTAACTCGAGTAACGTAGCAGTCATTTTTATGGGTTGTCCAGTCATGCTTTCGACATTCTTTGCAGCAATAATATGTATAACAATTATGGCAAGTTAAATAATTTCTCTTAGCCACTGACATTAAACAGTTGTTTTCACAATCTGGGTTTTCACAATGAACTATGACGTCATCTAGATCGTCCACTGAATCGTGCAGATAATGATCTGTCCCATCAAAATAGTCCGCTGACCAAGTAGTAGAGCAGATATCTCGAGTTCGTGATTCCAAAGCATCATCACTTAAAAACCGCCGATATTGCCTTCTATCCGGACTTCGTTTAACGTCACGACCAGTCGTGTTACGCCGTTTGATAGTCGGTTTTCTTGGACCATCTAAAGCAAGCATACAATTGAGCACATCTTCCAATGAAGTTGCTTGTTCCGATTTCGAACTTGCAACAACAATATCATGATAAATCACACCATTGGGTATCTTCGAGTAGGAAGATGTGGTGTTGTTGGTCTGGTACAAATCCTCGTGTATTTTACGAGGGGTAGAATAATAGTTGATGGGAGGTTCTGGTAAAGGTCTTCTCAATGTATCTATTCTGTTACCAAAACTAAACAGTGGTTTCTGAAAGGATAGCAATATAGAAAATAAGAAATGAATATTTTTTTGTATTGGATGTAATAAAAGAGGAACTTCTATAGACGCACTGTCCAAGGTCACAAAAAGAGAACATAAATCTTTTATATAATTACTTGAAGTAATAAATATTAAATTGAATATATGATTAACTATACTGAGATAGAAATAGAAAAGATATATTATCACAATATTGATTGTGAAAGACTGAAATTATACCATGCTTTCAAACTATATAGAAAAGATAACACATATGATAGTTTCAGAGAGTTAATGGAATGGGTTCAAATCAATTTCAATTTCTTTCAAGTGCAGATACCAAACGCTGATTATATTTTTTTTAGATCTTTGAAAGTGCATGAGAGGCGTTTACAATTTCATTTAACAGCATGTTTCCATCCCATTGTATTGCATTTTGCTTTTTAAACATGTTATAGTTGAACGGTAACTATCACCCAATCAATTTCAATGTTGACAAGGGATATTTAGAATCCAATCGTCATATCCGGCTGTCTGTTATTGCAATAACCGGAATTTCAGACGTTGCAATTAGTAGCTATAAATGTCTTTGGTACAGGTACATAGACTAAAATATTCTTCCATTACAGAAGAGCTATCCATGTTTTCATCGTTAGACTCACAATGTATGCTATAGAGTCGACTGATGGACGCCTTACACTACTTATCTCAGAAATATAAAAAATATACAAGTCTCATTTGAAATTGGACAGGCTGTCATAGCACGAACTAATGTTGACAGCCTAATGTTTGTTAGACATGGATAATTGTTGTGCAAGGCAGTTTCATATCTAAAAAGAAAGTTTCTGTTAATTTTTTTAAAAAAAACTATAATTTGCAGTAAAACCTAGAAATAAAATAGTAAGATAACACTGCTAAGATTCTCTATAGAAAAGAGCATGAGGTGTCCCCAGTGAGTCCTGTGCGTTTCATAATTGCTCCTGAAATATTCTGAAGGTTTTAATAGAATCAGACGAAACAAATTCCATCATTTATATAGAAATGAACTGTAACATTTTAGGTTCAACAACTGAGCAACGATTGTAATTTTTCAATTATATACAATTAAAATCAATAAAATGTTTTATATAATACATATGAATTTATTTTATATGTGGGAGCTATTATTTTTCGATATGAAACAGATGTTTAAATAGTTAATAATAGATGTATGGTTTAACAATTGAATGAAATGAAATGGAGTTTTACTTCTTACTTTTCTTTCAAGAATCGGAATGATCATACGATGTAGATTTTATTATTGTTCAGAAGAAACTCTCAACTACTTTGTGTTCTATTCAAATTTACTACTTGATGTTTTACCTTTTCTTATTCATATCCTTTTTAATCAAACTGATTATATTTTTAATATATTAGCCTACTCTTCAGTATCTTATTCATATTTAAATACCCTATTCATATTTGACTCTTCAGTATTATATTAATATATTAGCACACTCTTCAGTATCTTATTCATATTTGACTCTTCAGTATTATATTAATATATTAGCCTACTCTTCAGTATCTTATTCATATTTGACTCTTCAGTATTATATTAATATATTAGCCTACTCTTCAGTATATTATTCATATTTGACTCTTTAGTATTATATCAATATATTAGCCTACTCTTCAGTATATTATTCATATTTGACTCTTTAGTATTATATTAATATATTAGCCTACTCTTCAGTATCTTATTCATATTTGACTCTTTAGTATTATATTAATATATTAGCCTACTCTTCAGTATCTTATTCATATTTGACTCTTTAGTATTATATTAATATATTAGCCTACTCTTCAGTATCTTATTCATATTTGACTCTTTAGTATTATATCAATATATTAACACACTCTTCAGTATCTTATTCATATTTGACTCTTTAGTATTATATTAATATATTAGCCTACTCTTCAGTATCTTATTCATATTTGACTCTTTAGTATTATATTAATATATTAGCCTACTCTTCAGTATCTTATTCATATTTGACTCTTTAGTATTATATCAATATATTAACACACTCTTCAGTATCTTATTCATATTTGACTCTTTAGTATTATATTAATATATTGCCTACTCTTCAGTATCTTATTCATATTTGACTACTCTTCAGTGTCCAATCAGGCTGCATCCTTTTCATATCTCTTCTCTATCTTATTCATATTTTACTCTTCTCTATCTTATTCATATTTTACTCTTCAGTAACTTATTCATATTTTACTCTTCAGTATTCTATTCAAATCAGATTGCATCCTTTTCAAATCTAACTCTTTGTATCCTATTCAAATCGGTATCTTTGCATTCCATTCAAATCTGACTATTTTTGGTCTTTTCAAGATTCATTAGTAAGTTTTTTTTTATTCATTAGTTACATATTAACAAAAGTCTCAATTTTTGTATTCTATTTAAATCTCATTAATATGTATACTATACACATTTTACTATTTCTCCGTTTTTAACTGTACTCTTTATCATCCTATTAAAACTTAACTTGATTATTATACTCAAATCGTAAACTTACGTTTCATGTCCAAAATTCACTTTCGTTTCATATTCAAATTAATTCACGAAAAAGATCGATAGAGAAAACTAAACCATAAAGCCTTAGTAACTATCTGAACTATTAAAATCTAGTTACAAAAACGAGTTAACGTTATGGATGTGAAGAGCCCTAACTAATTTTGGTTGTGGTCCAACAAGCACATAAACATAATTTCGCATAGCTCGACATGGTAACATAAGGGAAGCAGTTGTTATGTAATTATGATATTGATTTTCAGAAAAGTTAGTCAAGGGCATAACTAAGTCTTGCGATAACCAAAAAACCCTCAAATCAATGTATTTTAGGTTCTTTAAATCTTACGAACTCGATTATAACTTACAATGCATACCAATAGGTAAACTTTCGAGTTGTCTCCGACTAAAAATGGTAGTATTAATCAAAAATTATTTCAGCTCCATATAAAGAAATATATTTCATACTCACCCTTCACACTGCGACCAGGAGTAAGAGATGCTTTTGCTCTCGCAAATATGGAAGTAGAGGGAACAGATTGAACTTTGTGACTTTGGTTGTTGGAGTTACCTAACCTGATAGCAGCAGGCTTATCGTGATTTATAGAGGGCGTTGTATCATTGTTTCTACTTACATTGTCTGATGGCGGTGGTGGCGGTTGAGATTCAGGTGTGCGAGTTGTCGAATCAACACTGAGTGTTTTCGGTTCAGGTTTTGGAGGAGGCTGTGGCTTGCTTTTATTCAATGTCGCAGTTTGTTTAGGTTCGGTTATTTCGATCACTGGCCGCTTAATAACTGCACTTTCAGGAATACTAATGGTAGCTCCAGATTGAATATTAGGCGCAGGTAATACTGTTTCAGGAGAATTTACACGCGGAGGAGTGACTGCTGATTTTGACTTAGATGATTTTGTAAAATGTTCAGTTAGTTTCAAAATTGGTTTGGGTAATCGTTTTTCAAATGATGTGTTTAAAGATGAAGACCCTGACTTCGGCTTATTTTTAGTTTTGTCAGTGTCCGTTGGGGATGGGGGAGAGGATGGACGTGGAGACATAGATTTACCATTTGTAGGGCTCTCTGGACCATTTTCATCGTCAGAAAATGTCACTGTTGGGATCGGAACAGTTTCTTTTTTACTCATTTCTGGTGATTTCGGTTTGTCTTCTTGACGCCGTTGTTCGGCTTTCGCATTGGCAGCTTTAGCTTCGAACATAGCTCGGATTTGTCTAAAAGGTAAAATCGGTACCGGCATTAGACCTTTAGGTTTTTCTTTTTCTCTAAACTGTGCACTTGGTAACCGAACGTTAGGCGTGGATTTCGATTTGCCATCAAGAACTGAGCGTCTATAAGAATCTTGAGCTGCATTGGTAGCAGGAGTATATTTTCGGAATATTCGAGAACTTGACGTAGGCGTAATACGTGTCTTGATAACTACATTACTAGATTGCGATACAACAGACGGACTCGGAGATGACATTAAACTTGGTGAAAAAGCCGAATAACCGAATGACGACATTGTAGATGTCGAGTCCCTACGCAAAATAGTACTAGCACTTTTGGATAAATTTGAATGTTTATACCAATCGGGTACATTTAGTTTCTGAAGTGACTTTGATACCCGTAGTTCATGAACTGATGGTGTCCTCGAAACAGTATCTGGAAAAACGTCATCAGCATCATCATCAATGTTTGTTTCGAGCGTCTGTAAACTCTTTGACTTCGGAGCCAGATGGCGATCAGCAAATCGCCGACTTGCCGGCTTGCGGTGAGTCCTCTCTGTCCGTAGATCTGTCATGCTGACTGCCCTATCACTTGGCTGCTGTAAATATAAAGAAAGATCAAGATCAGTCTCTGGAAAGGCAGATTTTTCTGAAGTTTCCCATGTGTCTAAATCAGTTTCAACTAGCGACGTCACCGACCCGAAACGGCGTAAATGTTCATTTAGATTTTCAATCGATAAAGTCTTATCGTGGATCTCTCGACGACCCT